AAATTACTTTCTGCACCCGTTTAAATGGTATTTAGGTCTTCCCTGTAAGAACTGTGTTGATTGGCGAGAGCGAAGGAGACTTACTGTTGTAGTTAAGGCTGTCTAAGGGCCGGTTTGTTCTCTTTGGTGTAAGCAGGCTTCGCGCCCACCACTCTCACAGTTATGCTAGTGTCCATATTCGCGTTGCTCAATCGCCATCAATCGGGCTGTAAAAGATGGCTCGTAGTATGGAAAACTATTATATGTGCCCCCTCATCCTAACTGTTCATGCTCCCCACGTCTTCTATACGCTTGCATAAGTGCTCAATGTGCGGTCAATAGAAATACGCAGTAAATCCCCTTTATTAGATTATATTGACAGTAGATGGTATAGCTTTCCTATAGTACCTTCTGGCAATATAGGTTCGTGAAGTTTTCAACTCGCGCATGTGAGCGTTATTGGATTCAAGTAGCTTTGTCCACCGTATTAACTTATCGATTATGTTAGGTTTGCGTGAGTGGGTTCGCACCTAGTATTAACTCTTGGAGTTGGTTGATTGGGTTGTGTTGGATTGCGTTTTAGAATCAGGTTGGTAGCTTGTTTTTCAAACTTGTTGGTTGTCCAGATTTTATGTTTATTCGGCTCAAGCACAAGATTGCTTTCCGCCTTGAGGTGAAATCGCGCAGTCGGTGGTCTCTGGGTAGAGCATCCATAGATATTTCTCGAGGTCTGAACTGATTATATTGGGAGTTTGTATTCTTCGCTTGAGCGAGGCTTCTTGCACTCGAGCGACGACCTTTGTCTACAAAACTACTGGGAGTGTGTACTCTGCGCTCAAGCAAAGCTTCTAGCGCTCGAGCGGAACAACTTATTGTGTCTGGTCGCTTGAGCGACACATCTTGCGCTCAAGCGAATTGTGCGTATATCAGTTCGTAAAATCACTTTTCTGAGTCACTTTTTATTTTTGAGTCAATTAATCAATATTTTACTTTTTAATTCTATTTAGATTATTAGATTTTAGATTTTCATGTAAAAGTATAATTTAAATATAAAATATGAAGAAATTCAGTATCTTTAATCACCAAAACTAAGAAAATATAAAAAATCAAAAATTGAAAAATAGATTTAAAAAATAAAACCAACGAAAGTGGTTCTTGTTTAGAATTTTGACATTATACCTTAGTTATTAAAGTATCATGTAAAATATTACAGTTCATAAAATATATTTTAAACAAAAAGAAAGTCTATGAAGACAACTTGCGAAATTTTGAGATGCAGCACAAATCTCTATTTTAAAAACGCATGCACTTTCCTCTGTCTAGTTTCAAACGAATGCATACAACTTCAAGATTTAACTAAAATTATTTACAGTGATTTGATCTATGATGGATAATTGTAAATATTATGCATATCAGTATAGAAGTAGATACAGAAAAAAAGAAGGAGTAATTGTTTTTTTGTTCTTCAATCATCATTAATATAAAAAACATGGAGATGTTTATTTTTTTTCATAAGAAGGAAAACGGTTGGTTTATATTTATATGAGATTCTTGGAAGCAGATATATCATTTGAGTGTTCAACTAAAAAAATAAAGAGATAGTTGATTTAGGACTTTTCATAACTTTTAGAAAATATAGTAAATTTAAAAGGGTGAAACTGAGATTTAAAAAAAAAAACTGTGGAAGACTTTTTACACTTTTATAATAGTAGTAGATATATGACTCTAGGGGTGTAATTTTGGCCCGTGGCCCAAGGTGGACCCGACCCGTTTAGGCCCAAGCCCAAGCTCAGCCCGAGGCCTTGGGCCAGGGCCTGGGGCATCGTTTTGGAGCCCGGCCCGACCTATGGGTCAAGCCCAAAAAGCCCAGCCCGAGTCCTGGCCCGCCCAGCCCAGCCCAACCCAGCCCACCCGATGGCCAGTGTTATTTTTAATAGAAAATAATAAAATTTTGGTGGAAAAAATAAAAAAAAAATGTTTAGGCCCGCCCAAAGCCCGAGCCCAGGCCCAAGTCCAGGGACTCGGCCCGGTCCACTAGCTCGCCCAAAGCCCGAATATCCCTGTGCCTAGGTTTGCGCCTAGTTTTCTGGCCCATGGGCCGGCCGGCCTGGCATTATTTTTGGCGGGAGTCCGCAAGGCCCGACATGGGCCCGACCCGAGCCCGGATAGATCGGGCCAAAATTACACCCCTATAGGATTCCTGGAATCAGATATATCGTTTTTTAGTATTCAACTCTAAAAATAAAGAGATTGTTGGTTTATATAGGACTCTTTATAACTTTATAAAATATAGTAGATTTGAGAGGGTAAAATTGAGATTTTAAAAAAGTAGAAAACATGGTAGACTCTTCACACTTTCATAATACAAAAATAAAGAGATAATTGGTATATATAGAACTCTTTATAACTTTAGTAAATATAATAGATTTGAGAGGATAAATTTGAGATTTAAAAAAAAGTAGAAAACATGGTAGACTCTTCACACTTTTATAATAGTAGTAAATAGTAGACCATTATTTTTTAATATTTTACTCAAATTTTTATTTTTTAAATTCATCTAATTTAAATACATTTAAAAAGTACAATATTTTTTTTATTTCTTTTTTAAAATTTACCAAATACAAAAAATATAAAAATATAATATTTTTTTTGTATTTTGTTATATTCAATAATTTCTCTAAAATTTTTATACAAATTTTATACTTTTTTAAATATATCAAAATTTGATCTAAAAAGTTCAAAAAAAAAAAAAATCATAATTAAAATATTTTAAAAAATCACAACAAATAAAAAATACAAATTAAAAACTCAAAATTATTTATGAAAATTCCAAACCAGAGTTGTTTATGAGAATTCCCAATCTTTGGAAGGATATTGCTGTACTGTTTAGGAGCACAAAGCCAAATAACTCGCGTTGCACAGATTCAGGAAAAGAAATGAACGTATTCTCTTCCGCTTTATTTGGTTTAGAAATTTAAGAACAAATTTAAAAAGAAAAAGAAAAAGAAATATATAAAACTAAATATATTTTATTTACATTTCACCTATTTTTTTTCTTTTCTTTTCTAAATTCTTCAACCAAATACAATGCTAAAGAAATTTATGAACAGTAATTTGAGTACATTGCTCCAAGAGAAGCTTTGGCTTTTCAAGATCGCACATGCTTTGAACAGTAATCAATTTAAAGCTGGAAAGTTCTGGTGTTTCTTGAGATCTTTGCTTCGCCAGTTGCTTTCAGAATATAGCCAGGTTGATGTTTCATGTTTGTTTGTTTGCTCCCAAAAAAGCAAGTTTCACTAGCAAAAGCTCAAAAGGGAACTGGAATTGTTCCTTGAAACAATACTACAAAAAGAAGAAATATTGACGTAGTTATTTACAATTGATAACTAATCATCTTCATCGCTTTCGTAGTTTTGACATAGAGACATTAGTCCAGAGCTAGAAACATTTGTTTTGTGGTCCTCCTCATGTTTTGCCGGTCCATTACTGTTGGAGGCTGATGATGGTTTCCTAACAACAGAAACTCTAACTGACGGAGACTTGAAAATGAATTTACCATCACCTGGTGCCTGGGCATCCCCTTTGTTTTCTGTCAATAACCATAGAAAAACAAAAATGAATCAATACCATTACGAAAAATACTGTCCTCCAAATTCACAGAATATCTAGTCAACAGTTACATTTATACAGAGCAGACACAATTAGAGCAAAATAATATACTACTTAATTTGCATATAATTACTTGTTTAGCCACGGGGCAGAATGAAATGGGGCATAATAAACACGTTTCGTCAAATTTTGTACAGACGCAATATGTTTTACCAGACTAATTGCAGTTTCTTCACATTTCTTTCATAACATTAGATTATGAAGTCAACAAATTATGAGCTCATATAGTTATCAAGGTTATTTAGCACAATATTTTCAGCGTGCATGGAAAATATATCGTTTAACATCCCAGACATACAGAATTATGATTCACTATTAGAGGAAATTTTAGCAAATGCACAAAAATTCCAACACTTTCTAACCAACACAGAATTTATAGGGCCCATTTGGCATTGTTCTCATTATTTTTGGTTTTAGATTTTTCTTCTCTTTTTTTTAAGTAATGGAAAATACAAATACAAAATTATTTGCATATCATTTTCATTCAAGTCAAAATTTTGAGAACTCAAATAAAATAAAATAAACAGTTCTTGAAAATGGGTCGTTTGCAAGAAATTCTTACTACTAAACATGTTTTCAGTATCGTTTTTATTTTTTCAATTTTTTAGAACATTACCAAATGGGCCCTAAAATTCATTTGTTTGTTTGGAGGAAAAAAAAATCCTAGCCTTTTAAGAGTTCAAAAAGAAGACTTGCCATTCAGGAATGCGCATGCAGCACACACAAGAAAGGGGAAGGTAAAGGGGGTTTGGAACAAAGAGCAACTAACTATTCAAGTGCCCTTAAAAGTTCTAGAGAACATATAACTATAGCGGTTGCTAACTTGCTACACATGCATACTAAGGGATAACAGACAACAATCAATCAAATGGAACTTTGCAAACATTAAAAAACTGAATCTAAGAATTATTTGGACCAACTTAACAACCTTCATTCTTGGAATTGTAACTTGTTTTCATCAGATAATCTGTTGGCTTAGTGGGAAGATCTTCAGAAACCTTTCTCCTCTGCTCAAGAAACATAATGAACTTAGTAAGAAATGCATAGAATTCATAAAGTTTATTGATTTATTCATTTCTTGTTTCAGGTACAACAGTATTTTCATTGTAAACACCAACTTTGATTTCCATTAGTGCTCCTTGAAAGTGTACAAGCATGAAAAGAAATGTGGGTGTGGGGAGAGGAGGCAGGAGCAGAAGAAAGAGAGAGTCTGCCAACCTAGATTTATAAGTTTAGGAGTAGAAGTATGTATGCTGCATATGGCACAAAAGAAGTGTCCAATATATTCAGCTTTCAATAAAGTATCACACCATTTCTGCTAACAGCAACATGCACAGGGTTAACTAGCAATTGATACAGAAGAATCAAAATTGCTATCATCAGGTTCCTTTCACATGTATTTTAGAAAATTTGAAATTTGAAATCTTCCTTGTGCTGAAGTTAATGCCTAGACTTTTTCTCTATGCCATCCAGTTGTGTGTTTTTAAAAACAAATTTAGCCCAAGTGCAAGGGACATGGCACAAATAAAATGAATCCATCATAAAGCGTAATTATCAAAATGTTACAATTTGTGAATTGAATCTTACGATTCAGATAGTTTGAACACCGTTTTCAATATGAATCACTCGCTGAATCTCATATCATAGAGATGACACGTGAAACTATGTGACATAAAATAATTTCATGATTTGTATGGTTCACTAGCCTCTCAATGTCAGAAATTGTAAAAATAGCTTTTCTGTAGTCTTTCCCTCTACTCCTAAAGTAAGCTTCCCAAATACTTTTTAAAGCCTTCAGAGTGAAAATATATTGAAGGCATTTGGACCTAGCAAATATGGCTTCCAATCGTTTAGATATGCTAGATGTTAGAAAGTGTCTTTAGGAAGCTTTGAATGAAATAAAAAAGAAAGAACTATTAACTTCTTCCTTGGTTTCATCCTAATGGATATCCTTCAAAACAACATACAACATAGGATATCATCCTACATGCATTTAGTTAATTCAGCCGTTACTAAGGCAAATAGGTAAGGAGTAACTGAAAATTCACTAGTTTCCCCTGTAGGTTGTAGGTGATCTACTAGTAGCCACAACCCCCATCATACATGTTTTTTATCGCATCCTTATACCCTTTGGTCACACTCTTTTTCTCCAACACCAACCATCTTATATTTTTAGGCACCATATTGTAAACTTTTTCTAAATCTATAAAAAAAACCATATGTAGATCCCTCATTTTCTCAATGTACTTTTCTATTATTCTTCTTAGTCAATATATTGCTTCTTTAGTTGATCTACCAGACATAAATTCAAATTAATTAAAGGACATTGTCGTTGTAACCCTTAAGAGATGCTCAATCACTCTCTCACAAATTCATAGTATAAATCATGAACTGAATGTCTCTATAATTGTTGCAATTTTGGATATCTCATTTTTCTCCACTCATCATGTATTTTCCTAGTCATTAGAATCTTATTAACAAACTTTGTTAACCAAGACATCCCTCTTTACCTAAGCATTTTCAAGCCTTAATAAGGATACAGTTTGATCCTAATGCTTCCTTAATTTCATCTTCTTCAGTGCAAGTTACACCTCAAACTCTCTTAGTCAACAATGAAACCTATATTCTCTAGTCCCATCAAAGCTATCATATTCCTCTACTCTTAGATTTTCTAAATGATTTTTATTTAACAGTTTCTAAAATTAATTTTTTCACCTTTCCTTAACCTCCTCATCCTTGACTAACACCTTCAAATCCTCACTTTTATATACTTAACCTGATTACGTGTCTCGTTTCATTTCTCTCAATTTAGGAAATTTATAAATATTATTTTCTCCATCTTTTTTTTTTTTGGATAAATTATTTTCTAATCTAGAATAAAGATTGATGTAGACTTTTAGCTTAGCATCCCTAATTATCCTTTTAACCTCCTTATTCGCCAATTTATCTCTCTTAAAATCTTCATCCTGTTTTATCCTTTTGTCATTTTTCAAACCATTCATTGGATACATATTGATCATACAACCAAATTAATAGTAAAGGATCATACTTTTGAATTATTGTTTGATGTTTCAGCATTCTCAGTTGAAATCTGAGATAAATCTTCATCATCATCAAGAATATCATCATCGATCCTACGAACGACCTCTCTTGGTGCCTGAGAAAGAATTTTGACACCAAGTATAAATCTCACGAGTACAAACTACCAGAAAACAGAGGCAGCAATATAGCAAAGTAGCAGTAGTTGGACAATGATATACTCACTCCAAATAATGATTTTATGAGTGCTTCATCCTCTTCTTCCAACTTCTTTTCCTGTTGACAAAAAAAATCCATGACTTAGTAAGAACTGATGGTGATAAAATAGTATCCAAATTCACATGTTTTGAGTTCCTCCGCTGCCTTGACAAATTCACACTGCAACTATGATGTGGTCAAATAGCTATACCTCCGGATGATTTGTTACGACATCAATTGGTCCAACAGTTTAAAGTATAGAAATACTGAAGCTCAAATTCCAGCAAAATTTAGTTTGCTTTTGAATTCGAGCCCTATCAAATTCTCATCAGATCAATACAGCCAGTGCCCAGCCTTAACACTGAACAAATTTTAGGTAGGCATGCCAAACCAGCCATTTAACTAACTTATCTCAAAAGAAGAAAAAGAGACATTCAAAGACTTTAATATATATATATATATATATCTAGAACTTATTACTTGTGTTAATTTTCAGTTCAATGAGTTAAGGAGGCAACCTAAATCAAAACCTATTATGTTCAAAAGTGAGTAGAAGATTACTTGAATGCAGCCCATCCAAAAAATGGTCAAACTACAAACTCACTAAACCTAACCCACTACCCATAAATTCATAGGTTGGTAAACCTCACCTACTTCACCCACTAAACCTAACCCACTACCCATAAATTCAATCCCACATTAGATACTGCTGCTGCCATTCACATAAATCTAGTACATCAAAAAAGTGACCAAAATCGCAATTGGGCTTCATTGTTCAAGGCCTACACAAAATGCATTTACACCCAAAAGGTTGAAATAATGAACTAGCATACATGACCTTACCTTTTCCTCAGCTGAGCGCTGCAAGACCTCCAGCATTGCATCTACACTGATAGTTGCTTGTCTTGACTGAAAAAACATAAAGAAGACTTGTTTTAGTATGCTTAAAATATAAATTCAAGTTCACATCTGAGTAAAACGAATAAAACAACAAACTTTCACACACTTGGCTAATGATCCCATATGTCAGGCATATTGACATTTTAACCCAAAATAAGTTTACCAACCTATGAAGTTAATAAGGCCATGAATTCAGTAGCTGAATCATTAAGTTATTCTCAAAACATCTAGAATTCCAGCCATGGCCTTGCCTGACTCTATTGGGTAAGAGTTGGGGTTAATCGGGATTGGCGATTAATAAAACTAATCTGGTCAAGGTCGGAAATAGGGCATCCCCTCCCCGAACCCCCAGATTTTTTATATATTGATTATCAACATACCCTCTTAATATATGTTTATTATGTTCACTACGTACTAGTTATTTGACTAAGCAAGTACCTTCATGGACTTCACTTCATCCAGGGCAGCAAGGATGTCCATCTCTCTTTTTGAATCCAAGGTTCTATTCTCCAAGGATTTCATTGCATCTCCCATCTCTTCAGTTTCCCTTTTTTGTTTTTCCTTATCTGCTTCCTGACAAAGAGAACAATGTACAAATTGTATAAGAAGCCAAAATCAAAATCATTATTGCAACAAAATAAGGAGATCTAAAGATGAAATAGAAAGCTATATATGGCATGCTAACTTAATACCTCATCCTCTGCACGCCAAGGTTCGAAATTCCGTGATGCACCCGACTCAACAACATAGTCTGAATTTTGCGGGTCAGTCTTTATTGTTAACTCAGCAGAGCACTTAGTGCATTTGAAATAAAACCTGAATATTTGGATCCCCAAGTATGTCTGCAAATAGTTTTAACATTTCAGTCAGTTCACCGAACAATAGTAATACATATCTCATAGTCGAAGTCTGAAAAGGATGTATTTTACTGATCACAGAAATAAGGATAAATAGAGTAAAGATAACAATATTATAACCGTAACAAGGGTATCCATCTTTCAAACAGCATAATGTTGATATTTCATCCAATGTCACCTCATGCTTTACATAGAATATGTTCAGTCAGAACATCACTTCATAAGGTTAATCCCTATGTGAAAGCAGAAAAAATAAGGTAGATGGCAAAAATTTGGTATCTAGAACAGTAGTAGATTTGTAGTGACAGCACTAGGGGTACATTGAATCCATGTAAAAATATGGTTGCTCTACTTAGAAAGTGACTCTAGATTTATGATCAATAGTTGCCTTCTTACACAACTTGTGTTAATGTAAAATAAATTGATGTATATATTGATAGATATTTTGAATGTTACAATGATTCCTATATATATAGAAGAGTAGGTGGTAGTAGGTGGTAGATGGAGTAGGTAAAGTGGAGGTGATAGTCGTGTAGTGGGTTAGGTTTAGTGGAGTAGGTGAGGTGGTAGTGGTGTAGTGGGTTAGGTTTAGTGGGTGAAGTAGGTGATAGGTTTTAACAGCCCCCCGCAAACTCAAGGGGGATAGGAACTAACCAACTTGAGTTTGGAGAGAGTAACAAAACAAGAAAATACATTAATACATAAAATAAAAGAGGATAGGAGACACTGTATGGTCGTGTCAGACCATTGGTGAAGACACTGGATGCTGGTGTCATAACGTTGTAGAGGACACTGTATGGGGGTGTCATAACCATGTAGAGGACACTGTATGGTGGTGTCATAACGGTGTAGAGGACACTGGATGGCGGTGTCAGACCGATGTAGAAGACAGTTTATGGGGTCATGTCGGACCGATGTAGAAGACAGACGATTGCAACAAAATAAGGAGATCTAAAGATGAAATAGAAAGCTGTATATGGCATGCTAACTTAATACCTCATCCTTTGCACGCCAAGGTTCGAAATTCCGTGATGCACCCGACTCAACAACATAGTCTGAATTTTGCGGGTCGGTCTTTATTGTTAACTCAGCAGAGCACTTAGTGCATTTGAAATAAAACCTGAATATTTGGATCCCCAAGTATGTCTGCAAATAGTTTTAACATTTCAGTCAGTTCACTGAACAATAGTAATACATATCTCATAGTCGAAGTTTGAAAAGGATGTATTTTACTGATCACAGAAATAAGGATAAATAGAGTAAAGATAACAATATTATAACCATAACAAGGGTAACCATCTTTCAAACAGCATAATGTTGATATTTCATCCAATGTCACCTCATGCTTTACATAGAATATGTTCAGTCAGAACATCACTTCATAAGGTTAATCCCTATGTGAAAGCAGAAAAGATAAGGTAGATGGCAAAAATCTGGTATCTAGAACAGTAGTAGATTTGTAGTGACAGCACTAGGGGTACATTGAATCCACGTAAAAATATGGTTGCTCTACTTAGAAAGTGACTCTAGATTTATGATCAATAGCTGCCTTCTTACACAACTTGTGTTAATCCTCTAACCTCAATTGGAGACATCTACCATTCGTCACTAGTTCGGAAATAATAGGTAACCCACAGAAACAAGGGAAGAATAATAACTTCTAATAAGGACAAAACTGAGGGAGATCCTGAATTTTTGTGCAAAACATTTCAAGTTTATTTATTTTTTCTTTTTTCTCCCTAGAACAAAAATAATGACTTTCCAGTTCATATGTAAAAACAAGTTCAAAAACACAAGAAGTTATGCAGACATTTTGATCAGTTAGAAATCATGGTAGTTATGCACAACATTCTCTTTGGATAAAAACCTACAAAATAGTTTAAGGCCTAGATAATTAGTCCTTATCTAACATCAAAAAAAAATTCTAAGTGACTATAAACTAATTAAAATGGTTTTCCTTATCGGTAATAAGCAGATTGATTTTCGATGTCAAAAACATGTATTAAAAAACAAAGAAAAATAATCATCACGGTACCAAGAGATACCATCCCAAAAGGTTAACAATCAACCAAATGTTAAAACAAGTAACTTGTCCCATAGAAACTAGTTTTGTAAACATCATAATTTAACTTAAAAATTAGAAAGATCATAAAACACATCATATCCCACTATACATTACATATGTGGAACCTATGACTAGAACGCTTGATATGCACAATCACCAGCATGGAACTAGGCCCTAAAACATGCATGAACCAATAGCTATTTCGTTTTTTTATAATTCACTACGTGCTCATACCACAAGGGTGTAGTCTGATCAATGTGTCTAGGTGATTAAACACAAACCACCAGTAAAAGTTGACGTACACAAATCTTTCGGTTCTCTACAAGTCCCATGGATAAAGCCCAAGCTGTGAATAACATCCAAAAAGTACACTTTTCCTCACAAAAAACTGTTGCCTCAATTACATGCCAACAATATTCGAGTTCCACTAGTATACCCAAAATTCCTAACAATCAATCATTCTAAAACAAAGACATAAGGGCCTGTTTATTTAGCAGGACTAATAGTGAGGGGATTAATAATACATGAGATTAGGTTAGGATTGGTTATCCGGCTTGGTTAGTGAGATACATAATTCCCTCTTGTGCACGTTTACTTTGCAATAGATATGGAAATATATCATCCCAATTATATATATGTTTTGCATTTTTAGTTGTAGGATTAAAAAATCCATCAATTTTGTTGAATAAAATGGCCATTGAAATCTAATCTGAATAATACATTTACAACCAAACAATGTAATGTGAGTCTTATGAATTAATAATCCCAATCAGTGATGGGACGGTATAGGGACGGGCAGTGGCCATGGTCCCTCCCAAGTTTTGGAAAATTCAAATACTACCCCTATATTTCATGATTATTTATAATATATAATGAGACAATTTATAAAATATATAATGAGATGATACCTATTTTATAAAATCACTCAATAAGTTTTTATTTTATCAGTATTTTATAATATATAATGAGATGATTTTTAACTATTTTAAATCACAAAATGAAAAAAATGACTTGTTAGATTTATTTAATTTCATCCTTATGAAATTCTGTTTTCACAATGTTTGTATAATTTTTTTTTTTTAATTTGTCAGGTACCAAAACTAGTCAAATCTTTTTATACACACACCGAGGCAATAGTCGCCCAATCAAACAGATATCTCAAAAAAGCACAAATAGATAACAATACAAATACACAATACACAACATGTAGAGTCTCCAATTTAGAGAATTATAAAAGAAATTTCTCAGATAGTGTAATCAAGGACTATGAAAGAGATTAACAATTAACAATTACGAATAAAAAGATACATACATACATATATATATATATATATATGTATACCTCGCCGATGACGTCTTCCTTGCGGGAGTTGAACTTGGTGCCTTTGTAGATGTAATTGCCGCAGGTGCCGCAGCGAATGCTCATGGGAAGCATCATCCGCACCTTCATCTGCTGGTTCTTCGGCTGCCTCCGCCTCGGAATCTTCGCCGGATCGAAGTCCGGCGGGTAGTACTTGTTCAACACCTTCCTTTCTCCCATCTCTCCTTACCAAAACTACTAACAACAAAAAAAAGTTGATAGATTGATAAATTTGTTTCAAATTCAACTCTCACACACACAATGATAATCAATTTTTCGAATCAATGGCGGTTCTGTGGAAAATTTAGAGTCAATTAGCGTCGTCGTCTTCTTCTTCTTCGGCTTCTTGTAAACCCTTGCCGTCTTCGATTTTCTGTGTCCCCTCTCGATCGAGGGGAAAGACTGGTGTGTACAATATGCGCAGAACATAAAATATATAAATTAAAATTTATTTAATTCCTAAATTATTAATTGAATCCATTAAAATTTTAAAATATTTAATTAAAATTTATTTAATCGATTATAAAAATAAAATATAAACTCATAAATATTATAAATTAGTAAAATATTCTATTTAGTTAAGATTTTATTTAAAAAAAAACTTCAATTTTTATTCAATCTTTGAAAAATGGGCGCCAAGCTTTTTTGATAAGTTTTATTCCATCAAACCCATATTTTCTTTTTTACTATTCCATTAGATTTCATTTGAGGTAAGAAGACCAAAACACCCTCAATCTCTCCTGCCTCCTATTAGGAGTGGTCACGGATCGGATTTGTGCGATTTGCAGTTCGGTTTTGACCCGCCTACATTTATGCGGTTTGGAAAAAAGTCAACCCCCAACCGCCCGCAGTGCGGTTCGCGGTTTGCGGGCGGTTTGGACTTTTTTTAAAAAAAAATTATTTTTGAGTTTTTTTTTTTTTCCATTTCGTAAATATTTATTTTTGGTCATTTTCCCCCAATTTTCTAAAATATTCCAACATTAATAATTAATTAATTAAAACTTATAAAATTAAAAACACAACAAAATCAATTCCTAACACAAACAAATATTTCAAGCTTATAAAATTATAAAATTCCAATTCCATACATCATGGTGCTGTTCAATGACAGAAACAAATGTTAGGCTAAGCAGTACTCATAATGCAGATCAAAAAAAAAAAAAAAAAATTTAGGATTGAGATTTTAGGTATGGTTCTCCCAATGATACATTCAAAATGAATGAATGAACAATTTTATAGGGGATGCTAAAAATTCTTATAATATAGAAACTCAATCCATAAATTTTTAGTTATAAATAAATACTAACACATTACATTTTTGAATATTACACAAATTTTACATGATTCATAAAGCTGTTACATGATTCATTGACAAGCCTAAGGCATCATTCTTTTCCAAGATAACTTATATATATATATACTTTCTATAAAAAAAACTTGTGTATATATATATATATATATCCAAGAGAAAAAATGAAAAAAAGAAAGAAAGAAAGAACAAGAAGAAGAAAATATTGTATCTCTTCATCAATTATGATTCTTAGCATTTTTACTGATTCATGTTTCAGATAAGAGTTTATGAAAATTGTTTCTAATGCATTAGGGTTTGGTTTGCTTGGTCAAAACAAAAATATTTGGGATAGATCATATATGAATGGTCCAGGTTAAAATAAATAAATAAAAATAAATATTCTAAGTGCGAGCGGGTTGTGGTAGGTGCAGTTCAAACCTGCAATCCATCCGCAACCCGAAAAATTGCTATATTCCAAATCGCACCCTACCTTATCGTATTTGCGAAACCGCCCATACGTGTGTAGGTCGGGTCAGGTCGGGTAGTGCGGGGTGCATAACCCTATGGCCAGCCCTTCCCCCTATTACTGTTGATATTTAATGTTGATTGCCATTATTGTTACCCAAAAAACAACCTAAGAGGGGGGTGAATTAGGTTTCCACAAATTAAAATTAATAATACCCCAATAAAATTAACTACTAGTACAACAAATTATTAACAAGCATAATGATGAACTTAGCAGTAAATGATCAAGCAAAATAATAATAAAGTATAACTAATATACAAAGTAAATCAAATGATTAACACATGAATATTAGATAGCTATAGCAGTAGTAGGAAAGTAAAGAGATTAGGGAAGAGGAGATGAACAGTTTTATAGTGGTTCGGCTTCAACTAAGCCTACATCCACTCTTCAAGTTTTACTTGAGATTTTTCACTATCTTCTAGTTCAACAGGGGTGCTAGCAACCTTTTTACAAATGGAGCAATTCTCCACGGATTTTACATAGCCTTCATAAGCCCAAACCCTTGCAAATCTTAGGTGATTCACAATCACTCTCAAGATTTCAAGAACACAGTGTTTGCAACACTTTTACAAGATGAAATGGTATTTTTGCTTTCAAAGAAAGCTTACAATAAATATCTCTCAAAGATAGATATATAAAATGAAGTTTTGATTTTTCTGTAAATCTTACACAGGAAAGATGAACTTAATGCTATAAGGCTTAGTGTATAATTTCTGAGAGAGGATATAAACAAAAATTGAAGAATATTTCTCAGAGAATTTCTTAGAGAATAGATGTGAGTGATTATAGATCAAAGAATATTTTCTGATTTTTTGTCACTTGTTTACATTAGAGGCTTTAGTATATATAATGAAACTTATAGTCGTTTATAGCCGTTGTACTCTATCATTACTAATTTGAATATCTTTCACTCCATCATTACTAATTTGAATATCTTCCACTTAAACCTTTTGAACCTTTTGAACTGTTGCTGTGCTGGGCTGTTTGAACCTCTGTTTTTGGACTGTTTGAACTCCTAATTTAATCAAATATTAAATACATTCTAACAACATTTAAGATAAAGGTTTAGGTAAGAAATAATGGGAAAAAATAAATTTTGATTCTATTTTTCTCTTTCAAATAAATCATCAAAATAAATTTTGATTAAAATATAATTAAATAAATCATCAAAATAAATTTTGATTAAAATATAATTAAATAAATCATCAAAATAAATTTTGATTAAAATATAATTAAATAAATCATCAAAATAAATTTTGATTAGGAAAGTAAAGAGATTAGGAAAGAGGAGACAAACAGATTTATAGTGGTTCGGTTTCAACCCAGCCTACATCCACTCCTCCAGTTTCACTTGAGATTTTCCACTATCTTCTAACTTCACAGAGGTGCTAACAACTTCATAAACATGGAGCAATCCTCCATAGATTTTACACAGACTTCACAAGCCCAAACCCTTGCAAATCTTAGGTGATTCACAATCACTCTCAAGATTTCAAGAACACAGTGTTTGCAACACTTTTACAAGATGAAATGGTATTTTTGCTTTCAAAGAAAGCTTATAATAAATATCTCTCAAAGATAGATATATAAAATGGAGTTTTGATTTTTCTGTAAATCTTATACAGGAAAGATGAGCTTAATGCTATAAGGCTCAGTGTATAATTTCTAAGAGATGATGTAAACAAAAATTGAAGAACATTTCTCAGAGAATTTTTCAGAGAATAGATGTGAGTGATTATAGATCAAAGAATATTTTCTGATTTTTTGTCACTTGTTTACATTAGAGGCTTTGGTATATATAATGAAACTTATAGTCGTTTATAGCCGTTATATTCATTTGAATTTATAGCCGATTATAGTCGTTGCACTCTATCATTACTAATTTGAATATCTTTCACTTCATCATTACTAATTTGAATATCTTCCACTTGAACCTTTTGAACTGCTGCTGTGCTGGGCTGTTTGAACCTCTATTTTTGGGCTGTTTGAACTCCTAATTTAATCAAATATTAAATACATTCTAACAACATTTAGGATAAAGGTTTAGGTGAGAAATAATGTGACAAAATAAATTTTGATTCTATTTTTCTCTTTCAAATAAATTAAAACATAATTAAATAAATCATCAAAATAAATTTTGGATTCTATTTTTCTTTTTCAAATAAATTAAAATATAATTAAATAAATCATCAAAATAAATAAGTCTAACAATTATGTTTTGGTAGTTCTCACGCATCAGGATGTTGACTGTCATTATATTCATATTAATTTCAAATGAATTTTTATTATTGTATTGTCAATTACATGATGTGAATATTCACATCATGTAATTGAAATGAATATTCACATCATTATATTTACATTAATTTAAAATGAATTTTTGTCATTGTGTTGTCAATTACATGATGTGAATATTCATACTAAAACATACGAATGTGACGTTCATTACTACATTAGATGAGAGAAAATGTTCACATGTTGTGAACGTTCACATCACTATATGTTGTGAACAAGAATGTGTTGTCAATTAAAAATTTAATGAACATTATTTTTAATGTGTTATCAATTAAAAAAAAGAAAGTTCACATGTTGTGAACGTTCACATCACTACATTAGATGGGAGTGAATTTTTCAGAAAGGTGTTGTGAATGTTCACATCAGATGAGAGAGAATGTTCACATTATTTTAAATGTGTTGTCAATTAAAAATATATTCACATTAGATGAGAGAGAATGTTCACATTATTTTTAATATGTTGTCAATTTAAAATATATTCACATTATATAATAATATAAAATAATAAGATCAATGCTATTTAATTCGTGTGTGAAATTTCCTATGTCTTAGTCCTTTCCCTTCTCTCTCCTCCCCAACATTAAATATAAGGGTATAATAGTATGAGAAAATAGTGTAAATTAAGAAAAAAGACTTTATAGAATAAAAGTATAAATACATGGGATTAAGTGGGTTAAAAAATTCATTCATGGACTTTTTGGATTAGAACACTTCTAAGTGGGATTTATCAATACAAATCCCTTTAAAGTTCTTTTAAAAGGATAAGGGTAATTATCTATAGAATTTTTATTTATCTTCTACACTAGATACATGCTTGCCTTAATATCTAATATTTTATGTCAGATTTCATTTATAATTTATAATTAATTGTTTTTAAGTTTTTCGCTAAGTTCTTTTTATTAATTAATTAATGTATTATTTTGTTCTATTACTATTTGTAAAGAAGTGTTATTATTTAAACTATCCAATTTTATTTCTTCAGTATATCTAATATTCATATAATCTTGATAAAATTGAAAAATCAGACTCTAATATTAATTTAAGTATACAACGAAATATTTTTTAAAGACAAAATAAAAATTTTAAAAATTTTCTATAATAAAATCTTAATTGGAGAGGCTTTTTTTACTAATTTATAATATGAATGGGCATATATTTTATTTTTGTAATCTTTTTAGGAATTAAATAGGTTTGAATTAAATATTTTAGGAACTTAGATTCATTCAATAGTTTAAGAATTAAATAAACTTTGACTTATATACTTTAAGGACTAAATAGATTCAATTGATAGTTTAGGAACTAAATAGAC